GCTGAGAGTTTTTCTCTACCATCTAGACCCTTCGATTATTGAATTTGGTCAAGATTTGGCCGCGAACCGTAAGTTTGACTGCGCCCACATGCATACAAAATGTCCATGGTTCGAAATCGAACCATGGACGCCAAAGGGTTAAAGGGACAGTACGGAGAGAGATGAAAATCTCAGGGCCCGTTGAGTTTGGTACGCACAGTCAAATGGTCTTGGTCCCAGGAGGGTCAGCGTGACGGAAGACGTTCCATCACGTTCCGTTGCAAAGCGAGTCGGACTCGAATCAGACATCGGTGTGCTTCTGCTTCTGTGCCATCGTCTTCGCTGGTTTGGTCACCTTGCCAGGATGGATTCTGCCCGTCTCCCCAAGCAGGTGCTTTTCGGGGAACTTCCGTCGCGGCGCCCCAGTCATGGCCCCAGGAAGAGATGGCGTGATGTTGCTAGATCTGACCTGGCCGTGGCAGGGATCCCGGAAAATGACTGGTACAGTCGTCCCTCTCTAATCCGGCACTTTATAATCCAGCACCCTCGATAAACCGGCACAATTTTCAGTAGCCAAATGTCCTCTTCATGCACATTGCAGCAGTAGATCAGATTTGTTAATCCAGCACCCTCCCTAATCCAGCAGATTTTCGTGGCACAAATGGTGCCAGATTATAGAGGGACCACTGTATGATGTAGCACAAGACAGGGGAGAGTGAAGGAAGTTGTCTCGTCATCCTCGTCTTCCTCCTCCAGATCTAGCAAAGAGTTTTCAGTGCATATATGGACGAACATTCCGCCGGATGGGTGACTTGAAGCGCCATTCCCCATATTACTCACCTCGCACGCTATCATCGCAGTAGCGATGGGCGTCCAAGGGTCGTGTGTGTGTGTGTGTGTGTGTGTGTGTGTGTGTGTGTGTGTGTGTGTGTGTGTGGATCAATGAAAAACTGTATCCAAGTTTAAAACAGAGAGGCTCCAGGCGGTCCAACAGGGTAGGATACTCAATACCGAAGCTCAGACAATAAAAAGAGGATGAAAAAAATGTTTTAACTCTGACTTTCATGCACTAAGTGATCATCAGAAAACAGTAATGAGAAACACTGGACACTGGTGAACACTTTTACTTTGTGGGTATAAAAACCAGTGTCCGGAGTAACTCATTACTGGTTTCTGATGATCGCTTAGTGCATGAAACTCAGAGTTAAAACATTTTTTCATCCTCTTTTTATTGTTTGTATCCAAGTTTATCCAAATTTGTGTATCCAAGTGGATGCACAAATCCAGCCTGGTCGCGACATAAAACTTTCTGCCCTTAGTGCAGACCCAGTGCAGACCCAGTGCACGGCAAAAATATTCAACGTAAAAATGATTTGCACAATGTCACATGAAATCTCTCTTCTTGTTTTCTGTGTTGTTAGGTGGCAAGTCACTATCAACGGAATGTGTAGATGTGGATGATGTACCTTCACAAGTATTACATGCACAGAAACTACTCAAGGATCGGTATTGCCGTGCCAAGGATACCTTTGCTAGTGAAATGCTCCCGGTTGGTGTGGCTCCAACTGTTGAACACGTTCAAGTCAACTTGGTGATGCTGAACAAGTCCAGTCTGAGTAAGGAGTTCAAACAAAACAACTTTGTTGCATCAAGCTATGATATGTGGAGAGTCGAGCATGCTTTCACTGATGCTGGTGAGAAGATGACATCAGTTGAATTGGAGTCACTTGGTAACAACACGATGAAAGACAATACAACACAACAAGGAGAGACACTGGGAACAATGGCGGTAGCCAGTGCAGGATGTGGCAAGACGTTTGTATTTACCAAGGTTGCACCTCTACGATGGGCGATGGGTCAGCTGTGGAAACGCAAGAAACTGGTTGTGGCAAGGGAGTTACGTCGTAAAGATGTGCGTGAGGCTAAGTCACTGAGTGAGATACTTGACTTGGAAGGAATTGGCATTGAGGACAGCCATGACCGCCAAGTAATCTGTGATTACGTACGTCAGCATCCTGATTGCCTAACGCTTATCCTGGATGGCTTGGATGAGACCAACCTGTCTGATTTGAGCAGCTTTCTTCATCGGGTAATAATCGGGGACGAGCTACCGGGTGCTCATATTCTTGTCACATCGCGGCCCTGTGCCGATGCCTTCAGCCTTTCAGCATTGCCTTTCTATCGACAACATGTCGAACTGGTTGGCTTCCGTCCAGGTGACGTTCAAACCTATATCAACAAAGTCCTACGACCAAAGAAGGCCAGCAAGCTCATTACTGAAGTTGAACGATCTTCATACCTGCGGGGGATGATGGCCACACCGTTCATTGCGAAGGAAGTGTGCATCCAGTACCACTGTTCAAATCACATCCCGCGATGCTTAGCCGATCTCTTTGACCAGATGATAATTCAGATCCTTGAACGCAAAAGTGGGAACAGTTACAAGCAGTGGAGTTCAATACCGGAGCAAATCCGTAAGTCAGTGTTTGAGATTGGAGAGTTTGCGTTCAGGATGCTTGTGAAGAAGCAGCTGATATTCGATGAGAGCGACATCCAGCAGCATTCGGTCAGTCAAGATGCGATGCGGCTTGGTCTTCTTGTGACTGATGGAGAGTCACCTTCCAGGAAGGAACTCAGGCAGTATCGCTTCAGCCACCTTACAGTGCAAGAATACCTAGCTGCCCTCTTCCAAGCGCACCACAAGCCAATGACTAACACCAGGATCACACGACTCGTTGAATGTCTTGGTGCGGAAAGTGCGCACATGAGAACGTTCTGGTTTCTGCTGTGTGCCCAGCTGAAAACTGTGGACCAGGCTGACTACTTGCTGAACGCATTGCTGACCAAGAAGAAAACAAAGCAATGGGATGGGGACATGGACGAGCTTGAGGTACTTCTTTCCCATGAGTTTCCAGACAGTCTTCTGCAGTCTCTGGGAAATGTCAGTCCAGAGCTTCGTCAGCATTGTGAGGATAGTCTTGGTGGACAGTACATGAATACTGATGGCTCAAGTCTACAGGGTGATGTAAGTAAGTCACGTCAGATTCTTGCATACCTGTGCTACTCAGAGCTTGTTAACCATCAGAAGATGAACAATCGCCAGATGCAATCTATCAGAGCATTACTTGCTTCCTATGAACTCAGCCTGCATGGCAGTTCACATCCAGCTGAACACCGTGCCATTAATACAGCACTGCAACATCACCCTGATGCTGTACAGCGTGTGACAGTGAATAGATGGTCATCAGACCACGCAGATCAGTTCCCACGCTCACTAGGTCAGTGTAGTGGAATAAAAATGCTGATCGTGGATAGAGTGAAGGACACTGCAGTTTCTGATATGATTCAACAGTGCATTCAGGCGTCTCATCAAAGTCTACACTCACTGTACCTGATCGAGTGTACTGATAATATCGTGGGCAACGGCATTCCTGCTGTCTCATCCTGTAAACAACTTGAGGACATCGAAGTAGGTCGGTGCGAACCTACACCCATTACTGGAGTTACCATGGCGAATGCACCGTCTGCTATGACAAGTGTCACTTCTATCACCATGACGGAGATAAATGACCCGGGCGTTAGTGCCACCACCCTGTCAACATTAAAAAACCTAACAAACCTATCTCTTTGGGACTGCGACCTAACAGCAAGATCACTACCTGCCATTATCAATGCTCTACAGTGCTTGCCACAGCTGGAGAGGTTGAGTCTTCGGGATAATGACTTGAGTTACATGAATGCAGATTATGCTACCACCCTGCCTTTGGTCAGCCTGCATCTCGCACACCTCGGTCTTGGTCATTGTCAGCTCACAGTAAGATCACTACCTGCCATTACTCATATTATACAGTGCTGGACACAGCTGAAGGCGTTGGAACTTAGTGGAAATGACTTCAGTGACATGACTGCAGATGATGCCACCACCCTGTTTGTGGTCAGCCTATCAGCATGCAACGATCTCACAGAGCTGTATATCAGTGAATGTGGCCTCACAGCAACAACACTACCTGCCATTACTACTGGTATACAGTGCTGGACACAGCTGAATTGGTTGTGCCTCTATGGCAATGACTTCCATGATGTCACTGCCAGCCAGGCTACAGACTTCATTGCAGCTGTGAACAACCACACGAATATCTCTACGCTCTACATGTTTTCTGAAGAAGAGATGGAATATGAAAAGATGGAAGATGAAGAGATGGAAGATGAAAAGATGGAAAATGAGCACTACACCCGACTGCTATCACCTCAGTCATACCTCAAGGACTTGAAAATTAAATACTGATGTGTGGGGTTCTGATGCTGCCTAGTATGATGCACACACACCCAGCAGCATCAGCAATATCTGCAGTAAAGACAGCAACAGAGGTAGCATCCGTGATCACTGCAACAGAGGTAGCACCATTGATCACCGCAACAGCAGTAGCAGCTAGCACAGCAACAGCAGTAGCAGCTATGACAGCAACAGCAGTAGCAGCTATGACAGCAACAGCAGTAGCAGCTATGACAGCAACAGCAGTAGCAGCTATGACAGCAACAGCAATATCAGCTAGGACAGCAACATCATTAGCAGCTATTACAGCAACAGCGGTAGCAGCTATGGCAGCAACAGAAGTAGCAGCTATGACAGCAACTGCAGTAGCAGCTAAGACAGTAACAGCAGTAGCAGCTAGGACAGCAACAGTAGTTGCAGCTTTGACAGCAACAGCAGTAGCAGCTAGGACAGCAACAGTAGTAGCAGCTATGACAGCAACAGTAGTAGCAGCTATGACAGCAACTGCAGTAGCAGCTATGACAGCAACAGCAGTAGCAGCTAGGACAGCAACATCATTAGCAGCTATGACAGCAACTGCTGTAGCAGCTATAACAGCAACAGCAGTAGCAGCTATAACAGCAACAGCAGTAGCAGCTAGGACATCAACAGCAGTATCTGTAGTGATGACCGCAACAGCAGTAGCTGTAGTGGTGACACGGGTGGAAGATATATCCGAATTGATGATTACATGAGCAGTGGAAGCCATTACAGCAGCAGCAGCAGCAATATCAGCAACAGCGATGACCACAGTACCAGTGGTGACAATTGCAGAACTGCAGTAGCAGCGGCAAAGGCACAGCAAGCATGCAGTACTAGTACTGCCAACAACAGCAGCAGCAACAGCAAAAACAGCAACAACAACAGCAGCAGAAACAGCAACAGCAGCAGAAACAGCAACAGCAGAAACAGCAACAGCAGCAGCAAAAGCAACAGCAGCAGAAGCAGCAGCAACAGCAACAGCAGCACCAACAACCTCAGCAACAGCAGCAGCAGCAGCAACAGCAGAAGCAACAGCAGCAGCAACAGCAGCAGCAACAGCAGCAGCAACAGCAACAGCACCAGCAGCAGCAGCGGCAGCAACAGCAGCAACAACAACAGCAGCAACAATAGCAGCAACAGCAGCAGCAGCATCAGCAGCAGCAGCAACAGCAGCAGCAACAGCACCAGCAGCAGCAGCGGCAGCAACAGCAGCAACAACAACAGCAGCAACAATAGCAGCAACAGCAGCAGCAGCAGCAGCATCAGCAGCAGCAGCAACAGCAGCAGCAACAGCACCAGCAGCAGCAGCGGCAGCAACAGCAGCAACAGCAGCAACAATAGCAGCAACAACAGAAAGGTGAACACAACATTAGTAGACACAGCGGCGACAGTAGCAACGGATATGACTTCAGCTGCAGCGATAGCAGCGGATATGACTTCAGCTCCAGCGATAGCAGTGGATATGACTTCAGCAACAGCAGTAGCAGCGGATGTGACTTCAGCAACAGTAGCAGCGGACTTCAGCAACAGCAGTAGCAGCAGATATGACTTCAGCTGCAGCAGTTGCAGCGGATATGACTTCAACAACGGCTGTAGCTGCGAATATACCTGCAGCAACAGCTGTAGCAGCGGATATGCCTTCGACAACAGTAGCAGCATCAGTGACCATAGCAACAGCAGTACGAAAGGTGAAGGCAGCAACAGCTGTACCAGAGATAACCATAGCAACAACTGAAGCAGTGGTGATGGCTGCAACACAGACAGTGGTATCAACAACAGTGGTGGCGATGCTCACTGCAAGTGTGTGAATTCGTTGCCGACATTTGGTGACATGGGTAGCAACGTCAGAGAAGTGCAAAACCTGGACTTGAAAGAACTCGCATTCTATTTGCAACGTCTTCCCGGTCAATACACGTGTAAGTTTCCCTTGCTGATCTATCAACTGCTCCCGAATATTTCGCAAATGTCCAAGTGTAAATTTCTCCGTAATAGATGTTCAACGGTCGCACAACGGCTAGATTCATTCTTATCTTTCAATGAGTTTGGTCCGATGTATGACTAGTGCTTCCTCCGGAAACAAAAAACTTCATGACTTTGATAGACCTGTCTGTTCTGGTGAATAGATGATATGCCAAATAACGTGCAACTAGACTTGGGAGGGCATCGCACACAAGTTGCATACAAATTACACTACGATGTGTACACGATAGGCCCTGAGCTCTGCAGGAATACAAGTTACAGGTAACCGTACAACTTTGAAATTGTATGCAACTACTCTGCAATGCCCTCTCAAGTCTAGTTGCACGTTAATATCAATAGACACCAATACACACACACACACACACACACACACACACACACACCACACCACACCACACCACACCACACACACACACCACGCACGCACGCACGCACGCACACACACACGATTAGAGACTTAACAAATAATTTCGTATCTCCACTTCTACACGCAGGAGAGTTACAAACGACCACTCTGCTTGTTCAAGAAGACCTTGGCTATCGACTCATCACATCCTTTTGTGTCCGTGAAGATAGATGTCGCCAGGGCGAAGCCTGAAGTGCGCGCGCTCGGACAAGCAATTGTCACGAGTCGAAAACATGAAGTATGCGCATCGCGGGTTTCTCCATTTTTTCGCGACAACCCATGCGTATTAAATATCAAGACATCGAGATTTTCAGTGGCTTTCAGGTCAACTTTGTCCGCATTTCCTGCGTTGAAAGTTGACTGTACTGCGTTCGCTCGCGCGCGCTCGCGCGCGTAGGAAAGCACAAATGTTACGAAAATGCAGAAAACGAACTTCGCTCAGGTACCCTCGCGAGGAAGACTATTTTCGCTGTATTTTCTCTTCACAGTTGTCTGACTGGCCTGGACATTTTTCCAGAGAACCATCGTTTATAAAGATCCGTGGAGATATAACTGAGCTACGAAAAATTTGAGTTCTCATGAATTCCAAAAATAATAATTTTTCTTACCCCCCCCCGGGCACTTTTTAATAATAGAGGGTTAAACATGTGCTTTTCAAGGCAAGGAATGATGGCTGGGAAAACTGAAGAATGATGGGAAAATGGGGGGGGGGGGGGCAGATTTATAAAATTTAATAGTACTTGGTCCGCCAAGTCAAAATTGGCGCTTATCTTCTCACTTGGTTTTTTGGTGTTCTGCCTGTGCCACACGGCATGGAACCACCGATTTTTGTATTTGTATTTATATCATTATCTCATGGCACATCATGATGACGGCCAATAAAACTGAGACAAGGGTGAAAGCCAACCACAGCAGTAAAACAGATAAAAGAATACAAATAAGAGGCAAAGAAGGCAAAGGAGGAGACAAACCAGCAGGATATACATGAAACCTATAATTGAGCAGAGATTTTAGCAACAAAATTATCCATCGACGTGCTGGTCTTGGCCTGCGTTGGTAATGTTGCCCAAAACACATAGCCAGCAAAGATCGGGGATCTAGTGAATAGGGTGGAGGCAGCGCGTGGGAGACTGAGTGAGTTCCGGGTGTTCCGTGTTTCGGAGAACCAATTATAAGCCTGCATATGCAAGGGTATTTTATTTAGTAATATTTTATGTATGAGAACACAGAGGTGGTACTTATGTCGAGTGGAAAGGGGACTGATCTTGGCAATTTCGTAAAGACTAGCGGAGGGAAAGCGACGATCTTTGCTAAATAAGATTTTAAGGAGCATGCGGTTATGGGTTTCTAGCTTGTTCAATACAGTAGTAGTTATGCCACACCAAGCAGTATCACAGTAGTCAAGTAAGGGCAATATATAGCAACGATAAAACAAGCGTTTGCAAGAAAGAGGAAGATGTCTACAGTGGGCTTGAAGAGCCCCAAGGATGGAGCTTGTGCGCTTGCAGACATACTGCACATGGGGTGACCACGACAATTTAGAGTCAATAATAACGCCAAGATGCTTATGCTCTTCAACAATGCGAATAGCAACACTTGAAGAAGGAAAACAAAGTGGCAGGGAAGGGGGAGAGGGGGAAATGTACATAGCTGCCGTTTTATCAACGTTTGGCTGCAACTTCCAATCATGCATCCAGGTTATAACTTTCCCAATGCTATCTTGCATGGCTTTGTGCAGGCGTATAGGGCAAGCATTGGAGCAAAGCAGAGCTGTGTCATCAGCGAAAAGGCTGACACCAGGGGCAGTATCGGGGAGGTCATTAATATACAGGAGAAATAGCAGTGGCCCAAGTATTGAACCCTGGGGGACTCCAGAAGTAACGGGTAAAGGCTCCGATAACACAGTTGAGAGGCGTACAAGCTGATGTCGGTTAGAGAGATACGATGAGAGCCAGCCGATAGCCTTGCCATCAATGCGATATACTGTTCGCAGCTTAGCTAAGAGACCCCTGTGCCAAACAGTGTCGAAGGCCTTTGCGAGATCGAAGAAAACTAAACCAACATGGTTATGGGCGTTCCGGGCGGTGTGGATGTCTTGCACGAGGCGGGTAACCTGGTACCTGGTGGAGTCACCCCGACAAAAGCCCGACTGTGCTGGCGAAAGTGAAATGCGAACATGATCATAAATGATGTCATATACAACACGTTCGCACACTTTTGATAAAGTAGAGAGCAATGAGATAGGGCGATAGTTGCTGGGGGTGGTGCGTGGTCCTCTATTTTTGTAGGTGGCCACGACTACCGCAGTTTTCCACATGGCTGGGAATTTCCCTTCACGAAATGACATATTCAAGATAATTGACACAGGATAGGCAACAGACGGAGCAAGAGCTCTCCAAACTTCGTTGGTAATTCCGTCTTGACCAGGGGACTTGCCAGTTTTCAGATTACGGAGATATTTCCTCACTTGGGCTGTACCAGTCGACAATGATAGGAGGGACGCAGGTATTGAGGGTGAAGGGGTGAGTGGTGGTATAGGCCACGTAGGGTCGTCAGGAAGTCCAAACGACGTAAACTGCGTGTTCAATATGTCTGCTATGTCTGCGGGATCTGTTGCTACCGTGCCGTCTGAAGCTGTCATTGATCGGATCGGCTCCCGACTACAGTTCTTACGGAGATGGCGGAGAAATTGATGGAGACTAGGGCGATCATGGGAAGACAGGGTGGCATGAACCGACTGTACATACTGACGATGGAGGGTACGTGACAAACATTTCACTTCGTTACGCTTGCGCTTAAAGGCAATGAAGTTTTCACTGGTTGGATACTTCCTATAAATGCTATACAAATCTCGCTTCAGTTTCACAGCACACTTGAGGTCCGGAGTGATCCAGGGTCGGGATGCATCCCGCATAGTAGGACGAGGCCTAATGTAGTCTCCTGTCCGCGGAATAACTTTGTAAGGCAACAGATGACGATGGAATGCTGACTGTAGTAAAGCATCAAACAGGACAATGGCATCATCAACATCAGAATGCCGATGAAGTAATGACCAGTCCAACCTAGACAAGTCTTCATTCACAACCTGCCAGACATGGGTAGGCACTTGTTTATACCTGTACTGAGCCTGGGGATGGAGGGACGATTTAGCAGTCGCTTGTGGTGTCGAGCACGATGCATAGTTGAGCGTACAAACAACCTGCAGATGATCAGATGTGCCAAGAGGAGCTGCGTGGTCGACTGAGAGGACATGTTGGGGTTTGTTGGTTACCAACAAGTCAAGACATGAGTTGGCACCCGCTGATGAAGTGTATGTTGGGAAACTCACTAGTTGTTGGAGC